CAGGGTCAGCAGAGCCAGAAGAGTGGGAAGCGAAGGGCCTCAAGGAGGACCCATCTCTGCATCTGGTAGGATTGGGAGGATTTCAGAAGAGGAGAAAGGAGTAGGGTCTCCCCTCCCCCGCCTACTGCTTTGTCCTAGGCTGAGCAGTGACCTCACAAGACTTTATTAACATCCTAATTGTATACAGCTGGCCTCACTCTGGCCCTAATGAGCTCATTATCCTCCCTACTTAAGGAGGCCATTGTGGCCTGGTCACCCTGGGGACAGAAGTGGCCTGGGAGTGCCCATCACTTCCTGCCACTCCCCCAGCCCCAACTAGGCTCTGCCCCCTCCTGGAGAGGCTCAGCCCCAGCTGCTCTCTCACTGCTCTTCTTCCTATGCCTCTCTCTTTCCTTCTGGTCTTTTCTCTCTCTTTTTTCTTTGTCTAACCCTACCTCCAAGTGCCAGCATTGGAAAGATTCAGTTATAAAATCATTCCCAGAAACTGGCCAGATAGATAGATTCTTAGGTTAACAGCCCAGTGGTCACCAAAGATTTGCCTGTGGCCTGAGACCGGGCATCTGGCTCCAGAGCCTGAGCAGATCCTGCCTGGGGCTGGACTTGGTCCATGCCTTCTACATCCCCACCCTTAGCTGAACATGCTGGGCACAGCTCTTGTTTCTCTCTCTCTCTCTCTCTCTCTCTCTCTCTCTCTCTCTCTGTCCTTGGCACTTGGACCAAGATAAAGGGGGAGGTTCTTGAGGAGGCCTACCAAGCAGGGCTGCCCGTGAATGGCCTGTAATTCCTGGGAAGGAACCCAGGGAAGGAAGAGGAGCAGGGGCGGCTGCAGGAGCCTGCTCTCATAGATGACTCCCCAGCCTGGGGCTTCTCTTGCATGTCACACACCCACACGGAGCTCCCTCTTGGGCCCCCTGAAACAAGTTCCTTTGCAGTTCTCCATTCAGCAACAGGGATTGGGGGCTCCTGCCTACCCCTGGGGGCCCTCTACGTGGAATGGCTATCTTGCTTGTGTGGAAAGAACATCACCTCAGCCATCCGTGGGATATGGACGCCTAGTGATTAACAGCACCACCACCTGGCACTGGCTCAACTCAGCCACTGATGCCTTCTCCGAGTCTCCTCTTCACCCTTACGAGATGGGCCCCCTTGGTTCCTCTAATGTCAGAAGGGACATTAGACTGAGACTCAGGAAGGTCTAGTAGCTTGCCCAAGGTCACACACACAGCTAGGATATATAAAGCCAGGATAACATAAGTGCCAGTAGTCAAGGACCCAGCATGTCAAGGAGTCACCCCTACTGTCACGCAGGAGACAAACACACTTCATTTATAGTGGCTGAGACTCCACACGCTAGCTGAACTCCCTCGGTCTTCCTCGTCTCTGGAAAGCGGGAAACTTCTCGACAGTGACATTATTTTCTCATGTCCTGTAGAGTGACTAAGTAGCCTGTGTGAGGAGCTGAGCGTTCTTACTGTGTTTGGCTGTGAAATGCATGCAGTTTTAGACCTCGGTCTGTTCCCACATGTATCTGTGCCTACCCATGCACACACGGACATACATGCATCACTGCCCCCACCCCCCGTGGACCCTTGTCCATTCACATGTACATGCACAGACACTGCAGGACAGGTACACACATTCCGGTGCATCTGGAAACCCCACAGCGTGCCCTGGCTCACACCAGCTGGCCACACTCAGAGGTTTGGGGCCCGATTGTCCCTCAGTAGAAGAGCAGTGGCTAGGGTCAGGAGCCCCAGTTATAGCAACTGATGTGTGAGTCAGTAGCATCAGGAGAGGCCTGCTAGCAGCCACGGGTGGGAGCAAGCCTAGCGAGTCTTGTGTGGAGCTAGGTGGACACTGTCCTCTACCCATGTTCACTCATGCCCATCATGGCTTGGTGGAGGTGCCCACAGCTGAGCCAGTGATAGGCTTTTCTCTACAGCCATTATCCTACCTGGTTCCAGCGGGGCTTAGAAGCTGCCCAGCCCAGTCCTGGGAGTACTGGGGCTGGATTAGAAACCCAGGCTAGTGTTTTTAGGCGGTGCTGGCCACCAGGCTCTAAGGAGGATGACTGTCTTAGCCCCAGTGCTCAGGCCCACAGCAAGGGAATGAAGTCCTCTTAAGTTGGTGTCCGGGGGAGATGATGTATTTGGGTGTGGCCAGACACCTTAGAAGTCGTGGCATGTCACATTTTAAAAAGGGCACCTAGAGACAGTGTGAGGTACACAGGAGCCTAGTGATAATGCTTTGCCCAGCCACACAGCTAGTACCAAAGAGCTTCCTTCATCTACCTCCCTGCTTCTACAGGAAGGGGGAAGCAGCATGTACAAGCAAAAGTACCCATGAGGGAAATCAGGGGAGAGGACACAAGCCTGCAAGGGAGAAGGGCCCAGACTCCTGGGGTCAGAGCCCACTGAGACAGGAGAAAGGTCCATACAGGAAGGAGAGGGCAGCAACAGGAATGTGGTTGGCTTAGGGACCTGCCTCCCAGGAGTTCAGATGCAGACTGATTAGACAGGACTGACAAGGAAATCCTGCTGGGAAAGTCAGAGTTCTAGGCCTCAGATGCAGAGGAGACATCATCCTTGGTTTCCTCCACAACCCTCTGCCTTAGGGACATTCCCCCTTAGTCCTGCTCAGAATGACTTTGGCGACCCATTACTGGAAGATAACCACCCAGCCTCCATGAGACCACCAGTTACCTGCCTTCCTGGGGCTTTGGGAAATTCCTTAGAGGATGGCACTGATAGTGGAGACACCTTGGGATGGAAGAAAGTTGGTCATGAAGAGATCTTGACAAATCCTCACCAGGACACCTGCTTCTGAGCTGTTTCCTCAAAGCCAATCCTATTTTGTTCTCTGACAGTAAACCCCCTGGCCCTAGCCCAGAGAGATCCACTCCCAGAAGAAGGGTTCCCATATCGGCCAGGCTATGCAGACGCTCTGTGGCCTGCTGGACATTGACTTAGCACAGCTGAATGGGCTTTGCAGGCCAGCAGGAGAAAGGTGTGTGATGAGATATGGGTGCAGCCTCCAGCTGCAAATTCAGGTGTGAACTTTGGAGCCTCTTAAAAAGTGACCCCAAGTTGGTAACTATCCCTTGAGTTCTTGGGGGTCCACCTGCTTGACACTTAAGCCTGCAGAGTGTTTCACCCTCCTGAATACAGCAGAGGAGGGGGAAGGCTTTCACCTCAAGCCTAGGGTGAAGGAGCCATTGGTGATTTTTCTGTCCCTGTGGCTACCTCCCTGCTCTCTCCGTGAGTGGGCAGCCAAAGAAAGCCCTTGCAGAGACACCTGCTAGTCATCTCTGCAAAGAGTAGACAGAGAGACCTCTTTGGAAATCAAAATGAAGACAGAGCCTGGCACTTACTGGCCAGCTTGTGGTGCTTAGAGAGCTTCCTGGTTCAACAGAGGTAGTCAATTAAGCCCTCTCTTCATATCCATGAATGCCGACTGTATCAGTCTTCTCCAGCCACCGACAGCATTTATTACCCAAATGTTAGAGCATTTGAGGTAAAAGCAGAGGATTAAGGGGGTTCCCCATAGTCAAGAAGCACCATCTGCTTGACCTTGGTCTCAAAGTGAACATCTCACTGTCATGAGTTCTCAGCACCACTCAAAGCACATTCTGTCAAGATGTGAGCCTCCTGGAACCAGTCTCTTTCCCCAGAAGCCAAGTTGAGTCTGGCTGTCTGGTGCCCTGAAAGCCACACCTACAGCCCAAAAGGCAGGCAGTTCTAGTGGGTATCAGTAGATTATTACAGCTTCTGGCCTACCAGTATTTACAACCCTGTCCCCACAGGTAGGTACCAGCGTCTCCCTGTCCTGAATTGCTCAGTAGCCTCAACTCTTCTCTCATAAGAAGTCAAATCTCCTTTCTTCCTTAACCCAGAGGCCCATCATCTTGTAGATAGATCAAAGCCAGCTCCCCTCTTCTGGCCAAGTGATGAGCCTGATGCAGGAGGCCTTTGGGCCTCCAAGATTTAGATGAGAAGTCCCCTGCAAGTTGTCTGTGGCCTGGTCTTGCCAGGACAGCACAGTGCAAGAGGGCAGGCCCAATACTCAGGTTCTAGTCAGGGCTATATAGTTGCTCTGTGCCGTGGGGAAGGAGCCTCCTGCAGCCCTCTTTTTCACCACTGGGAGAGATGAACACCATGACCTGTGCCAAGCAGCCAGCAAGGGCCCCGGGTCATAGGATTCAAGCTAGGTAATTGGGCCAACACTGTCAGCAGCAGAGGAAACAGAGACCCAAGAAAGTCAATGACCCACTAAGATCTCTGAAGCAAACAGGCCAGGGCTTCTGTGGGCTTTGCAGAGCACTGTGGAACCTCCTAGAAGGATGGGGACGGCTAGACCACAGACTCCAGGCCTGTTGTAAGGGAGAGTGAGGGCTGAACTTAAGGCTTAGGAAATGACTTGAGTTCTAAGGCCTGCCTAGTTGTGATGGACTGTTGGTTCTCCTCTTCTCTCTATTGTTTTCATGTCACCCATCAAGCAGTCTCCAGGCCAAACCCGGTTTAGGGGTGTCTAGGAGAACCTCCACTGTGTCTTCTCAGGCTGCCACTTGCTGCCCAAAAGAAACCCTGGGGACTGAACTGGCCCCAGAAAGTCTGCCTTGAACAGAAAGGACCCTCAGAGGCCAGATGATGTGGAGGACAAAGGACAGAAGGGAGGGAAGATGGGGCAAGTAAGTGTCTGAAGACAGCCAGAGGTCCCAAGACCTGGGGGGTTCAGATATTCTTTCTGTAACTGGTTCTTGAATGAATGAACCAGTGAGTGAGCAAACGACATGGATGAGGTGGAGGTCTCTCAGTGCCTCCTCTCAGGAAGACTATTTGTCTTTGCTGCTGTAGCTGCTCAAGGGTTTTCCCAGGTGCCCAGGTCGCCCGGCTCAGTGCCTTTCCTCTGGGCACGCCTTGCCCTCTGGCCACTCCTGCTCTCCACATCCTGGCCCCCATCCTGTGGCATTCACAGCCTGTTCTTTCTTGTCCCCTTTGCAGGTTGGTGGTTTGTAAGCACATCTGAGGAGCAAGGCTGGGTCCCTGCCACCTACCTGGAGGCCCAGAATGGCACGCGAGATGACTCGGACATCAACACCTCCAAGACTGGGGAAGGTGAGGGTCTCTGGGTTCTGAGCAGAGGAATAGAGCTTGACTGAAGGGTTTTCTAGGACAAGCCCCTCATGGACACAGTTCCCTGACTCTTCTCCCTAAGCCACCTGAATTACTACAGTGCGTTGGATTTTACTCAAGCCCCTTCCATTGAGATTCATTCACTGAGACCAATCCATGCAGTTAACTCATATGCTGGCCTGTCTTTGTCAGCCCTCCTGTGAGGCTCAGAAAAGGGAACATTCTGCCGGGTTATGGGTCTCAGACACCATTGTGGTAGAGAACAGGCTTAGTGCTAGAAACCCTGGCTTTCTCTCAAGAACTCCACAAGGCCTGCCTCTACTCCCAGCTGCACACTGGACTTCCTGCAGCAAAGCGGACCCCAAGCAGTCAGGTGGACATGGTTTCTGCTGTGTGTTGTCTCCCTCTGTGATCCTGCTCTGGACACTGATAGTTGCCTCGTGTACAGACCCAGGCTGTCCTGTGAACCCCCTCTCAGCTTACCAGACACTGGGGTGCTCAGGCTCCCACACTACTTTCTGACTAGCTCTGGCTCCGTTAAGATTCTTCTGGGTGTTTCTCCGTGCATTTCAGAGATTGCCTCTGCCCTCTAAGCCATCAGGCCCAGTAACTGTGAGCCACCCCACTTTCCACGCCCTGCTCCTAATGCCTTCCAACTCTCCTGTGGCATGGCAGCAGGAATCTTTTCCCTAATGGTCAGTCAGTAGGAGAGACCCAAGTGGCAGCATCTGAAGGCCACTTGAGGGGTTACACACCTCCCACCCACGGCTCAGGCCACCTTCAGGCCTGTGCCTCCATCCCCCTCCTCTCTGCTGCCCAAGCCAAATAGGCAGCCAGGGCCAGATCCTTATCCATCCTTCCCCAAGATGTTAGTTACTCTGTTGATGATTGGGCCCCTACCCTGCTTATGTCGGTGCCTTATTCCAGCCTGTGATTAGAGGAGGGACTCAGTACACATCCACCTTGTACCAGGACTCCAGATCCTAGGTTCCTCCTCGAGTCTTTGAGCCTTTATCTGACTTTATTCAGTTCTGTTGTACCAGTCTGTCTGTAATCCCCAGACCTTGTCGCCTACCTAATGCCTTGCTCTTCATAGCCTGCCAGGCCTCTCAAAACAGCAGCTCTCTGAGAGTAGCAGTGCATGCTTGTAATCCTAAGACTTGGAAGGCAGAGGGAGAGGATCAAGAGTTCAAGGCTAGCCTGGGCTACATGAGACCCCATTTTAAAATAATTTAAAAAATTAAATTAAATTAAAACCATCAAACATCCTGATGCCAGGCCGGGAACAAATCTATTACCGACTCTGGGAGATGACACATATGTCATATGTCTAACTACAGGGTCAGACGCTCAAGATGTTCAGTCCCATGTTCGTCCTCATCAGGTCTGAGTGCAGGTAGCCTCACTACTGTGTCATGTGTCAGGGACCGTGTATGACATAAAAGGCTACAGCAGGAAGCACAGAGCAGAGGTATTGGGTGGCTGTAGAGGCCCCAGAGAGAACCAGACAAAGCAGGAAACAGCTCAGCAGGCCTGGTTAGAGTAACATGGGCATTTTACATGGAACAAGTGGAACCAGATTGTTCTGGTGAGGTTTCTGTGGCTGTGATAAACCTCGAGACATACAGCAAGCTAGGGGAGCAAAGAGTTTGTTTCCCTTCCATGTTACAGTTCTCCCTTGATGATCAAGGGGTAGCCACGGCAGGAGCTTGAAGCAGAAAAAGGGAATACTGCTTACTGGGTTAACCCCTAGTTTCTGATCAGCCAGCTTCTTAAACAGCCCAGGACATCCCCACCTAGGGATGATACTGCCCACAGGGACCTACACCCTCCTGCATTAATTAACAGTCAAAAGACTGGCCCATTGTCGGGTGATGGTGGCACGGGCCTTTAATCTGAGTACTCTAGGGGCAGAGCCAGTCTCTGTGAGTTCAAGGCTAGCTTGGTCAAGGATGGAAGGAAGGAAGGGAAGGAGGGAGGGAGGGAGGGAGGGAGGAAGGAAGGAAGGAAGGAAGGAAGGAAGGAAGGAAGGAAGGAAGGGAAGGGAGGAAGGAAGAAAGGAAAGAAGGAAAAAAGGAAAAAGAAAACATCCTGGGATGGCTACAGTCTAATCTGATAGAAGTAATCCCTAACTGAGATCCCTTCAGATGACTCTGAGTTGTGTCAAGACAGCTGACAGATTGTGGAAGACTTTGACCCTGATGGATTAGGATTAGGGGACAGCCATGGCAATGTCTGTATCCACAGGTGTGTATATGAGTATGAGTGCACATGGGTGTCGCTGCTTTGCATGCTTCTAGTAGGACTTGTGTTCCAGCACTCTGGCCACATTTTAAGAATTCTCCTGCCTTCATGCTCTGTGTTAGAGCCCACATTCCTAGCCTGTTGCTAGGCCTCTGTAAGAAGTTTGAAGGGCCAGAGAGATGGCTCAGTAGTTAAGAACACTGACTGCTCTTCAGGAGGACCTGGGTTCAATCTCCATATCCATATGGAGATGGGTATCCATATGTCAGCTCACAAGCATCTCAAACCCTAGTACCAGGAGATCTAATGTTCTCTTCTGCCATCTGTGAGCATACATGCACACACACAAAATAAAAAATAAAATTTAAGAAAGAAGAGGAAGAAGAAGCAGTTTGCATGGCCACTCTTCTCAGGGGCAAGTGGAGATTCCCAGAGATTTTACTGGATTTTGGCCCAGGTGTGGACAGTGTTACTTTTACTCTCTCTACCGGCCAGCCACCCTCCCCAGAACTAGGCAGTCTGGCAGCTTCCTTTGGTGCTAGGGGGTGAGTTGAGCTGGCACTCTGGGGCCCTGGTCCAATGTCCATTCCCGTAGGAGTCATCTAAGAAGGCAGAGCGTGGGGGGCCAGGCCAGGGCTGAAGGTACATGGGAACTCAGCATTCATCTGTGACGGTGGCAGTGGTGTCCAGGCAGCAGATTTGAGCAGTGAGAATCTGGGGAGTTGTGGTCTTGGTCATCAGAGCCATCAAAGGCTAACAGCGGAACAGAGCTTTGCCTGTAGCATCTGCCAGTGTGTGTGTCATTCAGCAAACCTCCCCTGGGCTAGTACCTGGTAACATGTAAGGCCCTGGGGACTCAGATACAAGGCAAAGTCATCACCCTCCCCAGACCCCACCTAGCGGGGGAGCTCTGACCCAGTATGGAAGGGTCCCCGTTTCCCCTGGCCATAGTGGCAAGTTGACAGCCATGCTTGGTGAGTGGAGAGCAATGCTGTCTAGAACTCAGGGAGAATCTCTGGGGGCTGCAGATGGGTCTTCCCATCTCTAAGGGGGTTGGCTGAATTTGTCTCTTCATGTTGACAGTGCCACCACCAGACCACTCCTCACCCAGCTGGGTAACCCAGCAGTGTGCACACATTCCCTCTCTCTTCCCCTCCACCATCCCCTCTCATCCTCATTTCCATTCTCTCCACCGGTTTGATTCGTGTGGGCCGTGGGCACCATCACCATCTCTCACGCCAGTGTCCAAGAGACGCAAAGCTCACCTGCGGCGCCTGGATCGCCGGTGGACCCTGGGCGGGATGGTCAGCAGGCAGCACAGCCGAGGTGACCGCGGGCACCTGCCTCTCCTCCTGCAGCTGCCCGTCTCTCACTAACACCCTCTCCTTTGCCTGCTCTGCTCTCTGCCTCTGGTCTCCTGACTCACCCAGATCTGGCCAGATTGGTTCCTCATTCACTGCAGCTCGAACTGGGGACAGAGCCTTGCTTGGGAGTTGGAGTGGTACTTTGGCTTACTAGTGTCATGGGCATCAGGGATGTGAGACTCATGATGAGTTTTTATGTTCCTTGGAAGGGAAGAGAGGTATGAGGGAAGTCCCTGGGTCTCCAAGGAAGGCCATCCCTATCCCGGGTACTGCATATGAGAGAGAGCAAAGCTTTCTGTTCCCACCAGGGCTTTTGTCCTTTATTACTGCTGTCCATTAAGACTCCCTCAGCTGCGGCTCTCCTGTCAGCTGCTGTGCCAGCCTACAGCCCTTCTTCAGCAGCTCCACCTGAACCTAGATAGGCACAGAAGCCAAACTAATCATGGCATGAGAGCATTCCCCAACCAACGCTGAGGAGGGGCCTCAGCAGGATCTCAGGGAGCCCAGTCAAGGGCTCCAGGGAGGCCCTGGGATGACTGGGAAGGTGACATTTGCTGAGTCAGGACTGTCTGGCCCAGATCCTTCCCAACATCCAGGAACTTGGGGCGGGGGAGTGAGAGATGGGAGGGCCAGCCTCTGGATGCACCCCTAAACATACACAGACCTTCATGCTGGGTGCTCAGTCTCTCCTGCCCCACAGAGAGTAGAGCAGAGAGTATCCTCCTTGTGGTGACCATACAGCTGGAAGCTGAGGTGGAATTATAGTGAACACGGGCCTCTCTGGAAAGCAGGGTCTCATACCCATGACTCAACATGCTCACCCTCAAAGCTTGTTCCCAAATGACAGTGTATTTCAGTGCCTACCCCAAGAATCAGGCTACAGAATGTCAGACTCCAGCATGGCTACAGCCAATAGCTGACTCACAGTGTTGGCCATAAAGAACCCAGCTTGTCAGGAGGCAGGGCTTAGTGTGGGCCCTGAGGGCCGATACAGGGCCACCCTAAAGTGAGGAGGGCGGGAACAGCTCTGCCAAGAGGCTGGGGTGGAACATGGCCTCTAGCTCTAGTGGCAAAGACAAATAGGATGTGGGCCCAGAATCACACGAGGAGGACAAAGGTTTGGCCTGTTCCACATACCATCACTTGCTGAGCCACAGACATGCCGTTGCCTGCATGACCACGCAGATGCACACGGAGACCAGAGACAGGCCCACACAAGGCCCTAGAGGCTACAGGTGTGACTGGTGTGTGTCATAGCCATATCCAGCCACCACCTCCATGCACCCAGCCCTGTGGACATAGGCACTCACGCAGAGCAATTCCAGGAGTGCCACCCAACAGGCCCTGCTGCATACAGCTGCTTTACAGAGTCACAAATGGAGTTTGTGTACAATTCACGGCTCCCAGTCACATCATCGCTTAACCACAGTAATACCCACAAATGACACATGTATGTCACCCCTCATACCATGAAGACATGGTAAATTCAGACAAAACAATATGTGTAGGTGTAAATCCCCAAGTAATCATAATTCTGCAGTCACCTATGCATGAGCAAAGGCAAGCCATTACTTCATGTTCATTATCACACACTTCCCAGCCCTAGCCATATGAACTATGTTGCATTAAATCAGTCAGCTGAAGAGGGCTTGCAGAGAGCTGGCTGGTGGGCACTACGCTTCGAGTGGTAGAGCTGGAGACGGCAACCAGCAGCGGGTCCTAAGTAAGCGGATCAGAGAAGTCAGTGCTTCCCGGGGCCTCCACTCCCTATCCTTCGGCTGGCCAGGCCTTTGGAATCAGAGGAGGGGCCAGGAGTGGAGCAGAGAGACTGCTGACAGGGAGGAAAGTGTTTGGAAAGAGGCAGCTTCTGCGGTTTGGAAACTGCAGGTCTTTCAGCCCCTGCCTCCCAAACTGAGACAGGCTGTCCACCTCCCCCGTCCTACCCACCCACCAGCCTCCTGGCCAGCCTTCATGCACCAGAGCAGGAGTGCCATCGCCTCTGCATGGCGTAATCACAGAACCCAGGAGCCCTGACCCTCAACCCTGTCTTCCCTGTCTTCCCTCAACCCTGTCTCTCAAAGGGGCATCTCTTCCAGAGACCCCAGCCCCCCTGCAGACTCAGCTATCTATAGAGACCATTTACATCTGTCTGTCTAGACATTCCCCTTGACCGTAGGCTCTGTGGCCAGGTCCAGAAGTGGGGACGGGTCTCTGCTTATCCTCAGCTCACCTATAAGATGATGGCCCAAGACCCAGGTCACCTGTGACAACCAGAGGTGGACATCTCTCTCCCAGAGCTGGGAACCACCTGTCCAAAGAGACAGTCAGGGAGAGGTGGTCTGGCTGCCTTGCCCTGTTAGGAACCAGGACTGAACTCTTCTCTGACCACAGTGACCAGGGTAGAATGAACCTCTGTGCCAGTCAGAATTTTAACTGGGAAAGCATGATGTTCCCAGTGCCCAAGTACAGGGTCTTTTGCAGCCAGCTTCACTAGCCAGAACCAATACCCATGGTTCTACCCTCTGTCCCAAGTGGCTGGCCCTGGACTCTGTCCACTACACACACATGAAAGGCTGCTGTGGCCAGGCTTGGCATCTGAGAGGCTGAACACATGGTCAGGGCCCTGTTCTCAGCCATGGGGCAGGGCAGGGCTCCTCCAATCTTTCCCTGAGAAAGGCTGTCATTTTTCTCTTCAAAAGCAACCTTGCCTAGGAAAACTTTCCTGATAGCTTCCTGCTCGAACCACAGGCTTTTAAAAATAGCCTGGCCGAACAACGGCAAAATGTGGAGCCCAGGCCTTGCCTGGACCTCAGGCCCTGGATCCCCAGACCTGGCGCTGTCCCTCTAGCCACTGGCTAGGCCAGGGTTTACTGTGCCCCACTGGAAAATGGAGCAGGCAAGAGAGAAGAGGGTTGGCCTGGAGCCTGCGGAACTTCTCCAGAGCCCTCGTCAGGATCTGGCTGGGCAGAGCTGGAATGGAATCTGCAGGCCCTGAGCAGAGCTCTCCTTAGCTGATGCCGAGAAAGGCCTATGCTAAGAGCCAGCCTAATGAAGAGCTGTGCGGCCTCCTGTGGCCTTCAGCCACCTTTTGCTTTTTGGCAGTTTTACAAGCATGGCCCATGGTCCATCAGCTCTGTCCTGCAACCTGGCAGGACAGTTGCCTCTACCAGAGGGAAATGCTATTGGCCCAGGGCAGGGCTGCAGACAGCACCCTGTTAATGCAGGGGAGAATGAATGGATGGCCTCCCACAGCAGGGCGTTGGTGTGGCGGCTCCCGCCTAACCCCCATAGCCACCCAGAAGCTGAGGCAGGCTGCCTGACAAGGTCCGGGGGTGGCTATCACAGCTGAGGGCCAGGAGCAGCATGCTGCTCTTTGGCCAGGCTCCTGCTCTTTTGAGCTCCCAAGCAAGCTTTTCATTAAGTCCCTGCTAGTCCCTGCTTTCCTCTTCTCTGATAGAGACCAAGCCTCTACAGTAGCAGCCCCTACTGTGTGTGCTGGGTACCACTGCAGACCTCCAGGAAAGCATCAGCACAGCAGGATTCAGGGAAGTCCTCCCATGGGCTGACCACTTCTTCCAGTGGGGGAAGGAGGCAGCATGCTCCTCCCTGGGCCCCAGGCCAGCAACACTCTTGTAGAGGCGGGTGGCCTCAGCCAGTCAGTTGCCCATCAGGAATGGATCTCAGTAGACATGGAAGCCCTGGGCCCTTAGGGGTGCCCAGGAAGATGTCTGCTGCTCAGCCTTCCCCACAAGCTCTTTCCAAGATCCTAGTGCTATGGGAAAACTTGGACCCTCCCCCTCAAGGCACACAGGGGGATAGGCATGCGGCTCTACAGGAGGGGGAGGGGGCTTGAGGTCTTCCTGCCTATAGAGCTTGCTTTATGGAAATGCCGTAGTCTGCTATTAATGGGGAAAACTCAGGGAAGGTACCCCTGAAATCATCCAGAAGTCAGGCTGAGAGAATTTAAGAGGTTTACAGGGCTGGAATCTTACAGATGGAGTATAGATGGGACATGGCATTTTCTGAGGTGGGGATGTGCTAGGGTTCAAGGCCTTCAGGAGATACCCAGCATCCATCTCAGTTTCTTGACTTAGACCCTAGGAAAAGCAGATTTTTCCAAACTCGAGGGCCCCCACACCCTGGCTTGGAGGACCTGTTCTCACACTGCCTGAGGCTTTGCTGGCTCCCCAGAATCCTGCCTGGCTTTGGCTTATCCTGGGAACAGCAGGGACCCCCCCCCCCCCCCCCCCCCCCCCCCCCCCCCCCCCCTCCCTCTC